AGTAGTGAGTAGTGAGTAGTGAGTAGTGAGTAGTGAGTAGTGAGTAGTGAGTAGTGAGAAGTGAGTAGTGAGTAGTGAGTAGTGAGTAGTGTGAGTAGTAGTGAGTAGTAGTGTACTTCGACGTGGTTCTTTTTTGCTCGTGTTCTTAGTACGACAGCTGCCTTGTGACATGATTTTTTCCCTATGTCTGATGACTGCCTTGTCAGGAGGTGGCAACAAGATCACACAGTGCGGTCGAAGATGCATTGGTGTTTTTGCCTGGGTGTTCTTCCGTGGACAATTTACCACAACCACTTCGCAGAGATGGCGACGGGATCTTTATCTACGCGGAAAACGCTTGGTTAAAAGGCACTCGGAGCGCTGAAAAAAACAGCGCCCATGAGCTTGAAGCGGCAACGACCTTTTTGCCAGAGGCGAAACTTCCTCTCTCACTTCAACTTCAATCTGTGACGCGTGGCACAGCAACGATGGATTAAAGAAACACTACCGATAAGGAATGTGAAGAACTTTCAATGTAGATCATGAATGTCATTGTGCAGGACCAATTGTACATGTGACTTGATGGCAACCCTTTGAGTGCCAAAAAAGAATTCGCATTTTTGTGTTTTGTTTTCCAAAAAGAGTATCTCTCTTCCCAGCAGCAGCATGCACAGAGTGAAAAATCACAACACAACGAAAAAAACCACTGTTGCATTGTTCTTTATTCCGCAAGACATAGAAAAACTATCCCTGTACAAAGGGCGCCGTACGACCTTGCCTTTGTCAGCTGAGCACGTACTATCAACAACCTTTGCCGTTGCCTGTTCTGTTACAGTGTTTGTTCAGACCACGGAAAAATTGTCGCTTGTAAAACATGTCCGACATGCTAATGGCTAAGGTACAACAAAGCAGGGAACTCATGAACCTCACGATTTGACAATGACATGTTGCGATTTGGGGAACGTGTGCCGTTTTGGCCATTTGAGTTATGTGATGCAGTTGCTTTGCTTTCGTGCTCGTGGCAAGGTGTCAATTGCTTTCCACCAAGTCGTTTGGCTTTGATCTCACACGTGGGAACCTGGCACCGGCGATTCCTGCGCCATGACTTCAGTGGACGAAAACACAATCCCATGCTACAACGTGAAAGGGGAGAGGCTCCACGACCTTCCACGGCATGCAGAAAGCCAACGGGAGGCATTGGTTGCAGCTGAGATCAAGAAACCCGAGTGGCAAATTGTTTTAGTGACCAACCATCATGAAATTGCCAAACCAAACAGCATCGTGCCTTTAGAGGCAACATATTTATGTGCTTTGATTAGCACGCATCACGAACTCAGCAGGGCTGTTTCAGAGAAGGATGTGCCTCGGGTCGAACAACTCTTGGAAGAGGGTCATGACCCAAATTGCCGCGACCCAACTGGGAAGCCTGTGTGGTTGCAGTGCGTGGACTTTGAAATTGGTCAATGTGTGAAGTCATCACTGGAGGCTTGGGGGGCTAAGCCAGCCAACAACCGTACTGAGAATGTTGAAATCCTCAAGAAACTGCTGGAGGCCCGCGCTTCTCCAGATGCCAAAGATCTACATGGCAGGACTTCGTTGCTTAAAGCATCAGAGTGGAGCTGCTGGGAGCTTGCGCAGGTGTTGTTGGATGCTAAGGCATCTCCCAACATCTCAGATTCTCAGGGCAAGACACCTTTGCAATTGGCTGCAGAGAATGAACATTCCTTGCTGGTGGCCTTGCTTTTGCAAGCTGGTGCCTCCTGAGACGATTGAGATTGAAGTCCGGCACTGCAGTTCGTGACTGAGCTTAGGGCAGAGTTTTTGAACTGTCAGCACGCTCATGTTTTCTGAACTCTGAAGTAAGTTGCTGACATCTACTAAATCTACCCCTAAGACCACTAGAGTGACAAACAAGCTTGATATTTTTCCCAAAAGTGTAGCGACGGTTCCCGTTCAACTCTGCGGGTTTCGGGGTTGGGTCGCAACCGTCCCCAAAAGGCTCGCAACCGTTCGCGCAAGGTCGCTATCGCCTCCCCGCGCGCAAGCCCTCAGAGTGCTCTCAAAAGTGTTGTTGTGTGACGTTTTGTGATAGTCTCGCGCTTCTTGGCGTGTTGCGTGCATTTGACGTGGCAGGCGCAGTACTTTCAGGTTTTGCGTGGCAGGCGCAGCGCATCTGACGAGTCGTCCTCACTCTCACCCATCATCTCCCCACTCCTCACTTCTCACTCTGGTCTCGCCCACACTCGTCACTCTTCACCCCAACGGCGCTGCCATCATGTTCATGACTCATGACGTATCCACCGGCCATCCATCTAGTACAGGCCCTTAGGTTGGTAGAACGTGTCGGTTTTCGGGTTCGAGGGCTACATTTGGTTTATGGGGAGCGTCCTACAGAGACCATGTTTTGGTGGGGCACTCTTGTGAGCTTCGCAATCTGGTGCTTTGAAAGTTGAGGCTTTCTCATGGAAGCTTTGCGCACCAATGTGATGAAGTGGTGGCGGATAGATGTGAGCAAGGCTTGGCCTGTAACGAAGTAGATCTGTATCCAAATTGAGATCCAAGGCGCTTTGAAGGTTTGCCAGCTTCTCTCCGATGTACTAAACTACATACAGCGTCAAATTTCAGGGGGTCGTCAACCCACGAATTTGTGTTGGTCTTGCAGCCAATGAACCGTAGGCTTCGAACAGACTGACCAAACGCATGAGTTTTGCCAAAAGATCATGTTGGTGTGCCCGGCACCTCCCATTTTATCAAGACCGCCAACCCTGCAAACTGGACATGTAGAGCTGTGGTGCTAGGTTGATTGATATTGCTACCGTGCTTTTTGACCACAATCCATCGGCGTCACGAGGCCAACCCTTAACCCGTGAAAGGATGTAAGCTGAATTGGCGTGAAGCGGCATTTCCTCGGGCACTTTTACCATTCGGACACCCGAGGAAGAAGCCAAGAAGCCATTTAGGGAAACTCTAGTCCAGGTGAGAATGTTTGAAGTAGTGACTGAGACTCATTTTTAGACTAGTGCTCTGTTTTTTAGACTAATGCAACAATGCGCGAAGAAAAAAATACGAAATGAACAGACACTGAAGTAGTAGAGAATAGCAGCAACGTTTGGAACAAGACCCTGGAAGTCGCATTTCTGCTGCTTTTTCGCCGCTGCCCGTCGCCAGTCCACGCGACTGGTATTCAGCTCGACAGTCCAACTTCGGGTCCATTTTGGCGCATCCTTTTGTGTAAAAACGAACTTCGGCAAATTCTTCGGGATTTGGTACTTGTTTTCTTCGGTTGAATAGACTGATTTTCTGTGCAGGCTATGTGGGCTCACTGCTCTGCAATGCTTTGTTTGGTTTCATGAGGTTGAATGGCTCTGGAGGTCCCTGCGCGGATGAACGCTTGGATCACCATGAAGCTTCACCGTTGCACTGCACCGCATGTTGCCTTCCTGTTCCTGGTTATCCTGGTGCATTGATTCGCTGAGTGCTGTGCAGTGCATTGCGCAAGTTTTGTTACTGATCTGTACAGTATCCCCTGAGCCGAAATCCGACCTTGCAAGAAACCCGACTTTCCAGGAACATGAAGCTGCTGGTTGGGTCGGATATTGGCTTAGGATGAATTCGCCCATGCAATACTTGCCGGGCGGAACTTCTGTTTGGTGTGCAGGGCACTTGTTGCAATTCCTCCTGGCAACCCCCGATCTCTTCGATTTTTGGTCTCACACTGTGAAGGCCGAGCTTCTTGTAGGCGCGGGCTTCGCCAAGGAAGAATTTACCAAGGGCCAAAAAGCTGGGTAGTTGCGCCATTGGAAAGACCCATTGTACTTCCAAACCAAATGGATTTCGTTCAAAATTTTGGCCCTGGGCCCTTGCAGATGATATGAACGTTTAGTGTCTCCAGCTGTTCAAAGAGTCACAGCCAAAGCTGAAGAGATCTGAAGAGGCTTGAAGGAAATGGGAGACTAAAAGCGGTTCCTTCCGGAATGTGAAATTATGCCGTTGTGTGATTTGATGCTTTGTGTTCATTTCGTGCAGTGCATCGAATCAAATTTCTTTGCAATGTCAAGTTGAATAGTTGTGCGGCGATCGTATTCGAGCGATATGCAAGCGTGTCGTGGCAAATCGGATATTCAGTGTCCTTCTAGACGTCTAACTGTGTTTCAACGGAGCTCCAGTCTTTTCATTCAACATGACAACATTGGCAAAGACATTTCAATCGAAATGAAAACTCTTTGTGTTTAGACTTTTCAAAGGCAAGTGATTAAAACGGCAAGTTGGGGCAATTTTTGGAGCATTTCTGGAGCATTTGGCCCAGAAAACATCTTGGACACTCCAGAGATGGACATCCTGCAGGCTGGCAGTCAAATCGATGCGTCATGAAAGGCAGAGCATTCCCGCAAGCGTGTGCAGGGTCTCATCGCCGCTGCACTCAACCTGCGCAGCCCGTCCGAGGCAGGGCGTTTTGTGCAATTTCTGGTATAAAGCAGTGCCCAACTTGCTACAACACCCTTCGACCGCCATCGTCAGGGCTGTTTTCTCCAAGCTTGCGGCCTCAAAAACTTCTTTCAGTACGGCTTCTGGACGATGAGGAACAAAAAGGACCCAGTAGCTTAGCTTGAATAATCCAAAATTGAATCTGCATTGAGCAAACTATTTCAGGAAACACTGTGCTTGTGACTCAGTTGAAAAGCATTCATCACTTCCTGAGCGACGTGCAGACCAGCCATGTCTATATGCGGGTGCCTCTCGGGTCCTTCTTCGGTGCTGGGAAGATCCTTTTCATCAAGGACCCTGTGTCCATTCAAGAGGTGGTCAATTCCGATGACTTCTGGCGATGCAACCCACTAGACTCTCAGTTTAAAAGGCGGAGAAACACAAGAAACTCGAGTGGCCGCAAGCGGCCGCAAGGTGGGCACCATAGCAAGTGGCCGCAAGTGGCCGCAATCCAGATTAACCAAAGAAAGGAGCCAAGCGACAGAGAAGAGTCAAACGAAAAAAGGAAAGGAGTCAAACGAAAGAGAGGACTTCAAACGAAAGAGAGGACTTCAAACGAAAGAGAGGACTTCAAACGAAAGAGAGGAGTCAATCGAAAGAGAGGACATCAAACGAAGAAGGAAAGGAGTCAAACGAAGGTGAGGACTTCAAACGAAAGAGAGGAGTCAATCGAAAGAGAAGACTCAAACCAAAGAAACTACTTCAAACGAAAGAGAAGACTCAAACGAAAGAGTCGAGAGGAGTCAAGTGAAAGAGGAGACTTCAAACGAAAGAAAGAAAACCACTTGTGGCCATTTGAGCATGAAGGATGATGATGGATGATGCACGCTTTTGGCCCCTGAACATTTAACAACTTGAAAAAACATTTCCGCGACGCCTGTTTCTTAAAGATTTGCCTTGCATTTCGAACACCGCGCAGCAGCCTACACACCCTCACGGTACCCGCAGCCACTCGCAGCCATTTGAGTGTACGCATGCTTGCAATACGAAAGGTCTTGAAGCTGTGGGCTAGGACACATGTGTTTGTGTAATATACATTGCTTTGAGGGTGGAAATTGAAATTGCGGAGAACAAGCGCTTGCGGCCACTTGCTCCCACTCTCCTGGAGTGTGAGGGATGATGATGGATGATGCACGCTTTTGGCACCTGTACATTAAAAAACTTGAAACAACATGTCCGCGACGCCTGTTTTTAAAGATTTCATGCTTGCCTTGCATTTCGAATACCGCGCAGCAGCCTGCACACCCTCACGATACCCGCAGCCACTCGCAGCCACTCGACTGGCCGCAAGTGGCCGCTGTGGGTGACTGGGAACAAGTGGCCGCAACTGGGAGCAAGTGGCCGGCGCGGGAGAGTCCGTGCAAGTGGCCTCCCCAGGAGAGTGGGAGCAAGTGGCCGCAAGTGGCCGCAAGTGGTCGCTTAGTTCAATTCCCATCCTGAAAGCAACTCCTCTGCAATGTCAGAAACAATGCCAAAAGATATTGATAGTAAGGGCTCCGCCCTGGTGCCGCCGACCCCTTTTCTTGGGGGACGAGCTGGAAGACCAGAAGCCGGACAGGGATTGCTATAAGCATACACCGGCTATGTGCTCAAGACTCTGTATTCTTGATTCCTTTTACCCGGGCTTAGGCTACACTACGGAGGCGCTAGTGTATGCACAGTCCTTGTCAGGAAAGCTGAGATGAGCTGTGTGCCTGAAACCTTGACATATCACACTGGTGGTGCTTGCTGCCGGCGGCGCTGCTATAACCATACACCGGCTATTTCCTCAAGACACTCTATTCTTGACACCTTTTACCAGTGTTTATCCTACACTACGGACGCCCTAGTGTATGCACAGTCCTTGTGATGTTTACCCCTCGTTCCGGCTGAAGGCATAGATAAGCGGGGGGTAAATCGACCCCCCAGCTTTGCCATAACCATAAGCCGGCTATTTCCTCAAGACACTCCACTCCTCATACCTTTTACCAGTGCTTAGCCTACAATACGGTCTCTAACGTCGCCTTCGGAAGCCCATAGAAAAAGCTTTCTGGGCCAAGCTGCGGCCTGCAGGAACGGGGGCGGTCCACAATGCCTAACGTTGCTTTCGGATCGAAGCCCATAAGAAGAGAAGAGGCAGGCCTGGGACAGGCCAAGAGAAGAGGCAGGCCTGCCAGCTGCCGAGAGGGGTTTGGGGGCGGGGCCCGTGGGTCTCTAACGTCGCCTTCGGAAGCCCATATCTGGGCCAAGCTGGGGCCTGCAGGAACGGAGGCAGGCCTGCCAGCTGCCGAGAGGGGTTTGGGGGCGGGGCCCGTGGGTCTCTAACGTTGCCTTCGGAAGCCCATAGAAAAAGCTTTCTGGGCCAAGCTGCGGCCTGCAGGAACGGGGGCGGTCCACAATGCCTAACGTTGCTTTCGGATCGAAGCCCATAAGAAGAGAAGAGGCAGGCCTGGGACAGGCCAAGAGAAGAGGCAGGCCTGCCAGCTGCCGAGAGGGGTTTGGGGGCGGGGCCCGTGGGTCTCTAACGTCGCCTTCGGAAGCCCATAGAAAAAGCTTTCTGGGCCAAGCTGCGGCCTGCAGGAACGGAGGCAGGCCTGCCAGCTGCCGAGAGGGGTTTGGGGGCGGGGCCCGTGGGTCTCTAACGTTGCCTTCGGAAGCCCATAGAAAAAGCTTTCTGGGCCAAGCTGCGGCAGAGAAAAAGCTTTCTGAGCCAAGCTGCGGCCTTTGTTTGGCCAGTGCAGGAGTGATGCCGACGCAGTAGGGCTTTGAAGGCGGGGGTGGCTGCTTAACGTGGCATGCTGGGGCTTGCGTTTGCACTGGCCACCCGTTCCACCCTCCGGTGTCCCTGGCGCCGCCCCGCTTAGGCAAGGGCTAAGCAGGGGTCGGCGGATATGGCGGAAAGAATGTCAGACAGAATGTCAGAACGAAGGTCAGACAGTATGTCAGAAAGAATGTCAGAAGATATGTCAGAAGACTTGCCGGATAGAACTGCGAGCTCCAGATCTCAGTGTTTCCTGCCGGACCTCAACCGCGAGCTCCGAATCACAGTGGCCCCCGCAAGACCTCAACCAGGAGAAGGGGACGAGGAGGAGAGGATAACTCTGATGAAATCTAGATCTATAGAGCTCCAGATTGCATGAGAGTTTTTTTCTCCTCCTCGTCTTTGCCAAACAAACATGTCAGAAAGAATGCCAGAAAGAAAGTGAGTATGCAAAAAATAATGACAGACGATTGTAAGATATGCCAGAAATAATGACAGAACATATTCTGCGAGGGTTTAAGGTTGGCCGGGGCCGGGCTATGGTTTAAGGCCCCCTGGCCCGGCTAGGGCTTAAGGCCTCAGAAAGATTGCCAGAAAGAATGTCAGAAGATATGCCAGAAATAATGACGGAAGATATTCGGCTGGTCGCCCGGGGCCCGGCTAGGGTTTAAGGTCCTGGGGCCCGGTGTAGGGTTTCCTGTTCTGCCACTGACAGTACCACAGCGCTAGATTTCATCACAGTTATTTTCTCCTCGTCCTCACCAGACAAATATGTCAGAAAATTTGTCAACAATATGATAGTATATATGTCACGACAGGGATCGCTCGAAGTAAAGTAACTTTTGTTTGAGTGGCGACGTTTTGAGAGTTGAATCGCAATTTGATTTGCTTGAACTGAGGTCGTTTTCAGGTCTTGGTATACATGGTGGATAGGATTGGACAAATTTGTCGATGACCACATTGTGGCTCGTCTCAACCAGTCCTAATTCGACTGTGGCAGGTGAAAGAGCATTCTTGAGACTTCGCATATGGGCCCTGCAAAATAGCCTTGCATCCTTAAAGTGGGACTGTCAATTTATAGTGTTTCTGCCCTTTAGAGGCTATATCTCTGACGTTCAAACCCAGGAGTCCTGACATGTTACAGTACACTTAAGCCAGAATCAGCTCTGGCTTTGTGGGTTTTTGTTCGAAGGCGTTTGCGTTGGTCGTGGCTCTTGTAAGATTCTGATGCCGGCCAGTGTGGCTGAATCTGGTTCTGTCCAAAAATGGTTTTAGTCCCTAGTCACCGCGTGTGTCCATGCGTGAACAAACTCAAGGAACATGTTGAGCATCGTGAAGGTTTTCATAAGTTTGTGCAAAAAGTCTTGAATCGGATTGTTTTTCAGCAGTTCATTCTTGTGCTGGATTTGCCTTTATTTTGCACCATGTGTGGAGCGAGCAGCCACTTATTCCGCTTGCTGGTGTCTGTCGAAAAATGTGCTAGCCCAGAGCCCTTGACCCTCACAGACCATGAAGAGACCACGAGCGACTGGAGCATGCGTAACCACTGACGTATACTGCGGCCACCAGCACATAGCGAAGCAACTCAAGATGTCGCCCCAATGTGCACCAGAAAGTAACTCATTGAATCGCTTCAGGCCGTATGTTCGCGCAAGTTGTACAGCGAAATTTGCATGCTTGGCAGGAGGTTGTATTTTTCTTCCCTTGTACGTAGCACGGGGCTGAAATCCGAATCTCAAAAACTAGAAATACCAAACACAGGTGAGCAGGTAGCGCCCCCTCCAACACTCCACGCTGCAATTTACGATTCCACAGATTTCATATGAGCGAATGCCAGGGTCTAGAAGGGGCCTCGAGTAAGAAAAACAAAATACAAAGCGCTTGCGAACACTGATTACGGTACGTAACGTACATGACAACAGGACGCTGCGGAGGCTCAATAGTTGCTTCAGGCCTTTCTCACCAGGAATAGACGGAATAGATGCGTCTCTTTGTTGGATGTCTCGCCCATTTTTGCGTTCGCAGGAACCGTCCAACGCACGAAACAAGATCCAACTAGTGCCAGGTTGATGGCGTAGTCCGATCCAATGAAGGTGCAAGCCGAGGCTTGCTCAACATGAATTTGTAGTGACCATCCACTCCAGATTTTTTTTTTCGTTAAAGGGCAAACCGGGCGACCATCCACTGAGGCCCAGTCAATCTTTGTCCTTCTGGACGGCGAGCAACATGAAAAGCTCCGAGCGATCTTTCTGGACTTTGGCAGGAGGATTGCAGATCTGCAGTCACAGGACTGGAACCAGACTGCAACCATCCATTTCTTTTCGCTTTCACCTTTGATTGGGGGTTTGCGACAGACCTTTTGCTTTTCTACTTGGATATTTCAAGAACCTTATTTATCCCAGGGAAACCGGCAACCAGAACCACCGAATCGCGACATGGCACGCGTGATAGTTCTAAAACTCTTCAATATATATATATATATACATAAAAAAACATTGATAGCTTTCAAGTCCAGATCCCGCATCCAATGAAACGGGAGGGTTAGGCTCAACATGTTTCTAGGAGGACCACAGCCCTCGCGTGAAGCGTCCGCTGTGTCCGCAAAGAAGAAAAGAACAAAAGGGGGAAAAATAGGTTACAACTGTTGGGCGGGTAGTCTTTGCTGCACAAATTTTTGTGCGTCCCACCCTCCCTTTCTTGAGGCGAGCGCGCGCGATAGAAAGATCCAAGAAGATCTCAAAGAAGAAATGAACAACTGTGAAACTTGAAAAGCTCACCCGTTAATGCTTCGGATACATCGGCATCGAAACATCGGACTATTGGATCCGATTCTATTTTCGTATAAAAGATAAGAGTTTATGCAAAACCGCGCGTGCGAAGCATCCAAAACGGGCGCATCAAGAATTCTAGTTGTCTAATTTTGCCCAAAGCAACAATTTTCCCTGGGTCTAATTAAAGGGAACATAATTTCTTTGAAATGAGTGCACCCAAGTTATGGATTGTTTGAACTTGCTAAGCTTTGCCGCCAGGATGCCTTGGCCAAGAATGCTTTGGCAATCCTCCAGGCACGAGTCCAAGGAGAAAATAGCTTATTTGACATCTTGCAGGAGGTGGCTACGAGAATTCTGCTGGAGGTTTTGGTTGGATCCTCTTTGCCAGCAGGATGGATTCTCGATAAGACCTAGATTGCAGGTGTGTTTGTTGCCGTCAGCAAACGGGAAGTTTTCCATCAGACCAAAAAATATTGCAGGAGCTTTGAAACCCAGAATAACAAACCAAATAATGATCTGAGATGAGGAGGGAGAAGGAAACAGAGAGACATCCGCGTAGACCAGCGACATAATCGGCAAACGAGCTCTGCAAGGGCTGGTGTCACTGTGTTCTTGTGGCGCCCGATGATAGGGGTCTTTCAGGTTCCAGAGAAGGTTCCGCGTAGAGGTTCCAGATTCACGCTTTCGTTTCTATGTTCCGCGCTTTTGATAGAGAGAGCTCCGCTTTTGGAGCCCGTAGCGCTCAGGTTCACTTGTTGGCATTTGGGAAAAGCGGATTTGGATAGAACAACTGCTTGAGCGCATTGTCCACATGGAGGCTGTAGAAATTTGCAGGCCTTGCTTGCGTTCTCACCAGACAACCCTCTAGGTTGAAATGTTTACATTGAAGCGACCTCCAATTTTTCAGTTGGCAAATCCTTGAGTCTCTAGGGCCTAGGGCTTAGGGGTTTCACTTATCTGCGCTTTGGAATTATCGACTAGATTTTGTTGGGCGTTCTCCTTGAGCATAGATTTGAGTTGGACAGTCATTCAACAAGTAGTTGGTGTTGGGCTTGAATGGAAAAGCAAACATTCAAGTTGTTTTTGACATATTTCCAATAACTTTATGTTAGAAGGTTCCAGAAGTTTCCGCCGAGTCTTCCTCCGAATCTTCCTGTTTTGAAGATGTTTGGTTTCTTGTCGCTGTCATTTTGGCACCGTGAGCACTGTTTGTCTGCGTGCGGGAAGATAGCAATTCATGTGGACACGTGATTGGTGATACAGACGTTCTCAGAACAACGCAAGTATGAAAAGTGCGCCCTCGCAGAAAAGCCCCTTTGGAGTTCCCAACCTTCAAACAGCTACCACCTACCAAACACTGACAGAGCACGTGCAAACCAAGGCAGTAGAAAGCATGACGACCCCAGTTTATTTAACGCACAGTGTGGCATGGCTATAGAAAACCACGATTCAGTAAACGTTTCGACCTTAGATTCAGCTCTTGGGACAGAAAGCACCAGCAAGGACAGAACGGCGATTTCTTGATCTCATCAATCGAATCATGGAGGCTGTCTTCAATATTCAATGTCCTTCTCGAATGGATCAGGAGGATCTTCGATATATTTTTGACCACTTCTCGACCAACTCCGCCGAGAACAGCTTGACTCAGCACCTTCGTCGGTGCGGGTGCTCGCAGGAACGAATTGGACACCTCAGATGGGTTTCCAATGATACTACTACTTGAGTTACGTCGTATTTTCAGGTTGAAGTCGCATCTTCATTGGCGCCTGCAAAACAGTGTTTTCTTAACCTTGGCAATATTGAATTTTAAGAAACTGTTGATTCTCTCTTCGCGCCACCGGAGTCTTTTTTTGTTACACCTGAGCGCTTAGGTCTATTGTTTTCGACGTATTTCCCTTCCCTTGCGGAACTGTAGACTCTTGTGTGTAGTAGAGTGTTTTTTGATAATCGCATTGAAGTCATCCATCAAAGGGTTGAAAACATCCGTAACAACATAGAAAAGCAATTACCAACACCATGGAACAAGAATAAACACATTGAACACAACAAGGAACACATTGAAAGAATTGAACACATCCGAAACCATTAGGCAAATAAATACATCAACGCATTAAAATCAATGAAACTATTGGCTAAACACACAAAACCATTGAAGAAATCAATCAGTCTGGCAGACGGCTATGATTGATGCACAAGTTACCAACCTGTCAAAACCAGCGCCCCAAGGCGAACGGCCGTGATTGATGCGCACATTTCAAGCAAACAGCTCATATCGACTGCGCGCGCGCAGCGTTCATTGTCTAAAGGTAGACTTTGCTGGATTCATTGGCGTCCGCAATGAATTATTTCGAAACATGATGTGATGTGACTTTAGCGTCGTGATGTGACTTGGGATTTTCGGGGCGCCCGCCACACGAGATGTGTCTTCTGCTGCGTGATATGACTTAGGTCGAGTGCTTATATAGTTTTGCCCACTGAAAGCAGTGAACATTTTTGGTTCATGCTTGCTTTTCGCAGGAGCAAACCAAGCACAATCTCCTTGCGTTGATGTTATTGGGAATGCAGTCGTTGGCCAATGGCCCATATTGGCAGATTCTTCGGATCTACACGGAGCGTGGGCTTCTAAAGCAAGTGCGGGAGAATCCGCAGCGAGTCTGGGCAGTGATCGTTGAGGAGCTACACAATCATCCGCCTTCTGCGCCCATTTTGATGCCTTACAGGGCAAAGCGGAATTCCACCATCCGGGGGCAAACCATCCTTGAGGGAACCGTCGTGGTGATCTCCCCGCCATGGCTACTTGGCAGATTTTGTCTCATTGATGTTGTATCTCTTGACCTTTTTGGTTTCCTGCCAATTCAGTTTGCCACAAGAGTTTGGATCCCTTCCCTTATTCCAACATCTAGACAGAAGGGCTTGAATGAACACATGACTGCAGCGCAAGGTCACACGCTATGATGGGCGGAGCCCCGCAGGTGGGTTTCTGCTTGTCCCACGCTTTTGGGGATGTCATGTGAGTGCTCGTTCGATATCATGTGGTCAAAGCCTTGTGATTCATGTGCAACTTTTGTGATGTCAATGTTTTTTGACAGTTGTCATCATCATTAGGTCTGAGTCTGAGCATGAGAGGAGTCAACTAATCCAACTGGTTGCCCATTTCAACGAAGCTCTTCGCCCATACGCAGCTTGCAGAATGCAATGGGGCAGTGCGCCCATCCAAGGACCGTAGTGAGAATTTCACTTTGCAGCTGGCACTCTTTGTGAAGTTTCTCAGGAGCTACGCCTTTGGAGCGAGCACACGTTCTTCCTGCCCTGTGAAAGGTTTCGAGCTCAAGACATTGAAGGATGTCTTTGGAACGTTGCTCATAAGCAACCCCTAGGCTCGTTAGGAAGTTTGCATGCTGAGGATCTGTTCAAAGCCAACCTCGTTACTCGTGCATGATGTGAGGTTTCAACATGGCAACGATGTACAGCGTGATCACGGGCTTTGTTGACTTGTACGACATGAAAGCTTCTTTGCTTTAAGTGGGGCAGAAGACGACAACACACTTTGCTTCGCAGCCTTAGGTTCATGATCCTCAACGCCTTTGCTGTATGAAACAGGCAGAGCATATGAATTTGCATATTGTGAACAGGCCTTCTGTGCAGCTGCAAGTCACGCTGCAAGAACGCAACCAAAGTCATGTGACCAAGCCTTGCGGGCAGCAGCCGGTGATGTCGCAAAGCCCTTTGTGGGCTTGGTTGCCTTTTTTGTGTCCCGTTCTGTGTCTTTCCGCTGCGCTCCTGAGCTTGAAGTTGAAGCCAAAGTGATATCGACCTCGCTTCTTTTCCCACAACGGTGATGTCAACTCTTGGGTAGATTGTTCTGTTGTGATGACTTTGAGCTCAGGGCAACTTGCATCCCAAACTTAGAGTTTGAGTTTCCTGAATTGCCTGGAAGACCGCAAAGTCAACGTCGTTGCTGCATTCACTCTGTTCTGTTTTTTCTTCGCCCAAGCTGGCAATGTGGCATTCCATGAAGATCATCGCGAATCTTCATGCTGACTGTCCCGTCCAGCAATCTTCATGCTGACTGTCCTTTCCACATCAAATGCACAGTGATGATGTTTGTGCGTTTGTATTTGTTTTCCTCAAGGGAGGGACTCTACACAAGATCAGCGAAGATTTCCCCCTGGCGACAGAAGGAGTCAGAAGAGTGGAGTGGCAATGCTTTGGGTCCATATGCTGTGACATGTTCCTTTGTTTTTCACGCTTGTAGCTTATGGTTTCAGTGCTAGCGCATTGTTTTGGTTTATCATGGTATTCTAGAGTGCTGGGAGCTGGCGGTCCACCAGCAGGTGGAGAGTCTGCCAGCCGGTGCATAGGGAGTTGCCTAGCGGGAAAAGGTTAGGCAGTTAGGCAGACATGTCTTTGCCCAGGTGAGGTGGTCCATGAATTCTCCAGTAGCCCTTCCTGGCCTCACTACTAGTTGAGGAATGAACGTACGACCTTCTGGAATCAAGTTTCAAAAGTGCTACACAGTCTAGGCTTTTCCAACATGCTTGCATGTCCCAGGTAATGTTGACATACGAGTTTCCATAACAGCTGCTACAGCCGTGAATCAGTTTAAGAACACAGCTTATGAATGTTCAGCAGAAGCTCACTGGTAAAATTTTGGACCACCTGACAGATTCGGACTGCGCGAGCGTATCTGGCTCTTATCCTGGTTCACCGATTCGCTGCGAGCTGTCCAGTACAGTGCACGATTTTTGCCGTTGTCTCTCGACAGCAGCTTTCCATATGTCGGAAGTTTGACTTCTTCCTTCGACTACTTTAATTCTTTCCAGGGCCTTTCCCTCCCCTTGCAGAAGTGCCTGCGGAGCTGGTCTCCGGCCGTCCACCAAGAGACAGCCATCGCTGAGGCGAAGCAAAGAGAAGGCAGACAATGAGCGATTTGTAGGCCCCGTCATGTCGCAGGGCCCGTAGTTTGTTGAAAGCTATAGGATCTGCGTAAGCTCCCTCGGTGAAGTTTTTTCAATTATTCAGTTGCACCACATTTGATAGGCTTTGCGGCTTTGAGGGGCGCTGCTTTTTTTCAAGGTTGCGTCCAAACGATATAAATACATATACATTGTGCCTGAGCAAACCGTTTTTTAGCTTTTAGCATTTGGCAAAGGCATGCAAGTGACATCGATATTGATGATCTGAGTAGGTGGTTCCCTTTGGCAGGTGCGTGGGTGAAAACAGGGCCGGAGCATGCACTTGCTCGCTTGCTCGCCACCAAGGTAAGGTCAGGAGCGTTCCAGATCTGTGGTACCATTCATTTGGTGCAGGGGCCCAGAGTTTCGACAAAAGATGGTTACGTGGAGGTTGCGCAGAGCTGGGAGGAAGGTCACAAGACAGTTTCGCTGAGAAAAGCGAACAGCAAGTCGAGAAGCTGCGAAGAAAGTTGAGGCGCAAAGAACAGTAGAGGCTAGTAGAAGTATAGCAAAGGCAAAGCGGGGTGAAGTGAAATAGGTGATAGGTTTGCAAAGTTGGCATGGACGCAGACAGCTGCTGCCAAGAATGTTAGAGCGTGATTTATCCATTCTGCCAGTTGCGGTTCAAGGGAGAACTTGCCTTCGATGCGCGCCATGGCGGGGTTCATGAAGCTCTTTGCGGCCACTTCAGTTCCTGGCATCCTGCTTAATTGGCATGTGGAAGTCAAACGCGCTACATTGTTTGTGCGTGTAGTCTTAAAAGCAAACTCGATATTTACTGTATTGGATCTAAAGATTCGTTTGACTTTGGCTGCAAGCCCCGCCATTGCCGATGCCAAGTCTTTTGGCCGATTCTTCAGAGCAGCCAAGGAGTATTGCGCATCCCTGGCCGTTGGGTGTGGAGCGAGAATAGCATCGGTCCCTGGGGCTATGTAGTGTTGCAAGAGGAGTAGCTGATGGCTTCTTGCTTCTGTTTTGGAACGGTTTGCTTACGGGCCCCCTGCGCAGGATGCAGCAACGCTGGTGGACCCTCCATATTTCTCGCAGGACTGGGTGCGAAATTATGTTTTTTGTTCCAGAATTTGGAAATAATGTGAGACTGTTGGAGCCAGACTGACACAGGAACTTGCGACACAAATCCGCGAGATAGCTCCAAAGGGCGTGTCTCACATTCTCCTCACCCATGATGATTTTGTGCCTTGGCTGCAAGAGAATGGACAGAAGCAGGAGAACATTTTTTTTGGCCAGTGGGCTGTTTGCCCTCTTGGGAAGTTCTCATATGATGGCTGCGCTGATGCAAAGGATTCGGACTTTAAAGCGGAATACACCGAAAACTTAACAGGTAAGGGCCAAGGGCCAGGGTTTTTTTCCTGCTGTCAGCTCGCTCCGCCCAATGTTTGACCGGAGCCTTTGAAGTGTCTCATTTAGGACTTCTGACAGGGTAACAGGTGACATCAACAGAAATCCATTGCTTGGTTTTTCTATGCATGTTGTAGGAGTCTTTGGATGGTGAGAGATGGTTTCGGCTGCCTGTGTGAAACAGTAGCCATGTACAAATAGACGAAGGGGCCATACTGCACGTCATAGTGAATGACATGGAATGAAGAGGGATGAGCAAGAGTCAAAAGGGGAAAAGTTGCTCGTCCCGAAACAAAAAGGTCGCAGGCCAAAGTGGCCAAAACACGCCAACACCATTTTTTAAACATGAGTTGGTATGCGCAGGATCGGTTTCTACTTCTTTTCAACGCAAAACTGCCCATTCAGGTTGGAATGAGTGGCCATGAGCAGTGGCATCAAGAATTTGACCAACAACCTTTGCGTGTGGCACACCGTGCTGATTGTCATGGGCTAGAGCTTCAACTTGACGGTCCTGGCCCTTGGAAGGCTGGAAAGAAATCTTCAACGCCGGTACCGGGTACCTTTTGGTCTCCCATGTTCGCAAAACTCTAACTGTAACTGTTTTCAAGTGCACCATCCCATCTTCTTTGAAGGTTGGAGACTTTGATGTGTACCATGTGCCGGGCCACTCCGCTGGATCTCTCTTCTACGCGCTTCCCAAGTTGTCGGCGATTTTCACGGGGGACCGGGAGGGGAGTTTTGGGCTTCCAAAGTCAGAGCCAAGACGAACACTATTTTGAAGCTCAAAACTGATTCATGGGATATTGCAGGGTCAGAAGCATGCGTTTTGGAAGAAAACACAGTTTGGCTTTGTTACAGGCTACAAGCACATGCAATGCTTGTGCACGCATATTAACAAATGCCTTAAATTCCTTGTCAAGTTTCTCGTAATTTGCTTGGCATGTGCACATCAACAGGACAGCTTGGGTGATTGGTCTGGCCCCACCGGCTTCCCGCAGCATTGCCGTTTCGGGCGAAGCCGCCAAGCTGCTTCGTTGCGAGGCACGAGGGTCGAACGTGCGAGGTGGAGATTTGACCAAACTGTCCATGTGGGTACTAGTTGTCCCAGTCTGGGACACCGTCTTTCAAGTTGTGGGCCGTTTTTTCTTCTTTCATATCCCATAATTTGTTTCCCGATCTGGTTGCCGTATCCATTCTCTTCTCCAAGTCCATCTTTCTGTTTTTGGCACTGAGTGTGACTGAACGAAGGCTTTACCAGCGCTGTGTCGCTTGGTCGAACTGTTTGGGGGCAGAGAAGATTATTGGAATCCCATGGGGCAAGACCAGCTTGGAAACAAACGCTTCGAGAGAGCAAAAACAACTCAAAAGGGGAATTGAACACGACAACTGCGCAGGCTTTGCGAAACATGCCGGGTCATGGCAAGCCGTGCTGCCGGGTCATGGCAAGCCAATGCCGCTTTGGATGAAACGACATTGCCCCCCGCACCTTGCCTGGCTGCAGAATTCACCGCGCTGCCGAGGTATTTTCAAAAGGAAGCGCAGTGGCTCGAAGCCATCAATCAGGCAGCGCGTGGGTTGGAGGGTTCTGTGCTTAGTTGCAGAGGGGCACGAACTACGAAGTTGAGACGAATTGCAATGTTAAAATCGCATCTGTAATCTGTAGCATTGAAACTTGGCGCAGCACGCAGCGAGTCTTGAACTTGTGGTTTGCCACAAATTCTTACACTGGTTGGATGCTCTTCAGGGATGTTGCTGAGGTTAGGAACAATGCCAATGTGCTCGCTGGAGGAGGCATCCAGTTGTGTGCCCCGTGGGATTGTAACAGGTCCTCATGTTAAGAATGAAAAGCTCAAGCAGCAATGGCCTTTCTGTGCTGTTCTGATTCCTTTCTTTTTCGTTCATCATGGGGGGCCCAACTATTTTACGGACAGAAGCTTGGTTGCAAATCTTTACCATTTCCAGATCTAGCGAAGTATCTGGGCCGCAGACACCAGCTTCGGTGGGACCATTCTTTGCTGGCCCCTTGCTGACATGCAATTCTTTGCCTGAGCCTCATTCGCGACATATTCCCGGCGCAGGCATGGCACTTCGATGATTCCTGTTCCTGGTAGTCCTGGTGCATTGATTCACCGAGTGCTGTCGGGTGCGTTGGGCAATTTTTGAGTCTTGTTTGTACAGGATCCCTGAGCCTAAATCCACCCTCGCATTCTTTTCCTAGATTTCTGTAAACGATGAAGCTGGCTCTTGTTTGGCTGGATCTTGGCTGGGAATCAATTGGTCCATGCAAAGCTGGCTTGGGCCGACTATGATGCATTGTGCTGTATTGCAAAGTGTTGTGGAAGCTCTTTATGTAGGCTAGCTATGGCTTGAGTATAGACTGACTCTCCCACAACAAGAGCTTTCACACCCTGCACATAGGAGAGCATCATGTTTTGTGGTTCGTCTCTTCAGCTGCCTTTCCTGCGCAGCCACTGCACGAGACGCCGCATCAGAGACAGAGCTGAAAACGAGGCTTTTAGGCACCAGAGCCTTTCCATTGGGCGGAGTCTGAGTCAACCGCTTGCCGTGTCAATTTTCCGCGGTTTAAACATGTCTCGCCAGATTTCGGAATGCCACCGTTGCATTCACGCATTGCTAGTGTTTTTCAAAAGCAATTAATTTGGGCTCAGAACTGGCAGATCTTTTGAACCATGGAATCCGTGGAGAATGCTTCCGCTAAGGCGGGCATAGTGTGATGCGTTGCTTGCTTCACGCTGATGAAGTTTCATGCTTTTTGTCGATTTTTTTCAACCTCTTGCCTTTTTGGCAAGGCTGTCTCGGACGTTATTTTGGCGCGTTATGCCTGCAAGACTTTCCAGGATGAGGAGGTCAGCGATGATACAATTCACAGGTTGCTTCACCTGAGCAGTCGCGCGCCGAGCGCTTTGAACACGCAACCCTATGTTTGCGTCGTTGTCAAGTCGGATTCAGGCAAGGAAGCATTGGCGCAAGCCATGGATGGTCCAAACCCCGCGCATGTGAGAGAGTCATCCTTCTCACTGGTGTGGGCAGCAGACCCAAATCCAGAGCTCCCTCCCGATGCGCCCGAGTTTGCAGCCTCATTGCTGAAAGAAGTGTCGTTGAAGCAGCAGTCGACGCATGAAGCTTGGGCGGTGAAGCAAACGATGATTGCTGTTGGGTTCTTCCTCATTGCAGCCACTGCACATGGGCTCCATACAAATCCAATGGAAGGTTTTAAGTCTCAAGCAGCCGTTCGTGAAGCAGTTGGGCTGCCAGACAAGTATGACGTACCTGTGGTCGTTGCAGTTGGCTTTGCCAAGGACCCCAGACCAGCAGCCTCAAGCCGCCGACCGCTGAACGAGACGTTCTTCTGCAATCGGTTTGGCCAGTCGTTCAAAGCCACGTGACAACCCCGCAAGCAGAAGGCGCACTTCGATGATTCCTGTTCCTGGTAGTCCTGGTGCATTGATTCACCGAGTGCTGTCGGGTGCGTTGGGCAATTTTTGAGTCTTGTTTGTACAGGATCCCTGAGCCTAAATCCACCCTCGCATTCTTTTCCTAGAATTCTGTAAACGATGAAGCTGGCTTTTGTTTGGCTGGAACTTGGCTGGGAATCAATTGGTCCATGCAAAGCTGGCTTGGGCCGACTATGATGCATTGTGCTGTATTGCAAAGTGTTGTGGAAGCTCTTTATGTAGGCTAGCTATGGCTTGAGTATAGACTGACTCTCCCACAACAAGAGCTTTCACACCCTGCACATAGGAGAGCATCATGTTTTGTGGTTCGTCTCTTCAGCTGCCTTTCCTGCGCAGCCACTGCATGAGACGCCGCATCAGAGACAGAGCTGAAAACGAGGCTTTTAGGCACCAGAGCCTTTCCATTGGGCGGAGTCTGAGTCAACCGCTTGCCGTGTCAATTTTCCGCGGTTTAAACATGTCTCGCCAGATTTCGGAATGCCACCGTTGCATTCACGCATTGCTAGTGTTTTTCAAAAGCAATTAATTTGGGCTCAGAACTGGCAGATCTTCTGAACCATGGAATCCGTGGAGAATGCTTCCGCTAAGGTGGGCATAGTGTGCTGCGTTGCTTGCTTCACGCTGATGAAGTTTCATGCTTTTTGTCGATCTTTTTCAACTGCAGGTGATCGTTCGATCAACCTTCCTGGTCTTCCTGGAAGTAACAGAGGAACTGGATGAGCTCAACTCGAAGTCCAAGCGCTGGGCGCGTTCAAGGAGCGTGCCGTTGCCTTGTTTGGACTCCAAGGACTGTTGGGAGAAAAGCCAAGCAGATACATTGTTTTACATGATAATATGTAGGAAGAGACCTTACAAAAGGAAAGTTCACATGGTCCAAGTACATTTCGTTCATTGGGACACTTGTGGCAGGATGTGAATGCCACGTCCCAGGTTGTTCAAAAGCAACTGCGGGAGATGAACTTGCGCTTGTCAGAATCCCCAGATGTGGAGATGCGTCGTGCCTTGCTGCAGCTCATCCGACAACATGGTACAACACTTCCCACAGGAAAGCGTGGGATTTTTCTGTCGAATTTGGCCAGACATGCGTATAAGATCAGGAAGAAGAGATTGATGAGGCTGGTCCGCTCAACAGACTTTCAGCTCGGGCTGGATCTGACTGCTCATAAAGAAGCGGTCTTTTTAGTATAGTCATAGTCTGTACAGTCTTCTTCAGCATGGTGCTGAAGTCAACCAGAGGTGCTTTCTAAGTTAGAGGCATTTCTTTGGTTGAGGCTCTGCTAACAAAAATTCCCAACACATGTTTTGGCCCCTCTGCTTCTATGCATTATATATGTACTACAACCACTGCAGAGATCAGAGCAGACACCACACAGATGACTGTAAGGCAGTTGTCAACCAGTTGCCGTTTTTGGAACCGAATCTCGCTTCAGAAAGGAAAAACGATCAGACCGGAGAGCGTGGGCTTCGGGGCCTTGGTCGATTTCCATCGAAGAGGCCTCGTTGGCGTCAGCGGACGTTCAGCCCCTTCTGCTCAAACCGGACTTGTGGGCTCAGCCCCATTGCCTTCAAGCAACAACACCGGTAACAATCTGGCACCCGCAAATTTGAATTCGACACCTAAGACGCAGGTTCCAAAGAGGCGGGTAGGCGTGTCGTTGACGCACATGAAGCGTATATTTTTTTCTCTCGCGAAAAGCGACCTTGAAATATTTCGGACCCTTGCTGCAGAGTTTCTTGGCCAAATCCGGACTCCAGCTTGAGCGCTATGAAGGAACAGGATCAGTTGGATGAGATCAAAACACTAAATCAAGTAAAATACAAGACTCCAGAGATGAAAAAGCCAATATCAGAATCATGTTGCTTAGGGAGTAAATTCCAGACTCAATCATTGCAGATCATGACGCGCTGGGTGCATACCGCTGTGCGAGTTGGCTGTTGTTTTGTGGGCTTTGGCCTCGCAGGCAGCGTAGAAAAACTTTTCCAATTGGGTTGTCCTTATGCGGATCATCACCATCATGCAAAGATAAGTCTATTCCGACTCAAACATCTATGAAACAGTAGAAGGGTTTGCTAGGAAATCGCTAAGCCTATGGTAAGAAACGTTGCGAAGAAATCTGCAAATCCAACAAATGAGCTACCGACATCTACCAACCAAAGAATTCAAGCAAAAACAAATTGGATATCCTTGCTTGAAAAGCTTTGCAACATGTGTTTCAACGCGAGAATACACAATGAAACAGATTTTGGATATTTCAGGGCTCTTTTTTGGGCCCCAGGTTTAGGTGCCAGCTGCTTCGCATCGCCCATCTCTGCTGCGGAGTCTTATGGCTTTCTGACGACCGATGAAGATACACTTCGATGGGCGATGTCCTCAGTTGAAACCCTTGGGGCATCCAAGTATCAAATATGGTCTCAAGCTTTCTCGTTTTTTAATGCCTCTTTTCTTTGCGTGCATGTTTCTTTCTCAACGAGATTGTGAACTCGGTCTATTTATTCTCTTCGTTTAGTTTTGTTTGATGATGTTTGTGTCGTTTCTAGGGAAAATGAGGAGGTGATTGTGCTTCCATGTTTTGGGATTTGTTTATTGTTGAACTCGTAAGTAATGAATGGGACAACCGGTGCGGATTGCAGTTCTTTGGAGTCAAAGTCGTGTTCGGTTCATTGGTGTATGTCAAAGCCTTTGCTGAATGGTTTTTGTTTTGTTCATCGAAACGTCCTTCCAACTTACGACCGCGTTCAAGTGTCAAACATATTGCATCCTTTATGTTCGTATTGTCTCAGCGCTAGCTTTTTGAATGTTGTTGATACAATTAAAACGCACAAGGTTTGCCGTGTAAAAGGTGCATGTTAATTCTTGTGATGGTAAACATTGGGTCGTCTTTCAAAGATGCAGAATGGAACCTGTCCCGGGTTGGTTTCAGTTTGTTCCCCTCATACTTCGTAGCCCGCCTGCTTTCTCAAAGGTGAAGGTGACTGGCATTCGCGATCTCAGCCTAGGAGTGCTTTTTGTTTCCTTTCGTCGTGTTGAAAGCTTTTTTTGTGTCCGTCTTGGGCCGTTCAAGATTTTGATTGTGTTGCAGAAGCTTTATTCAGAAAAAACAGATACTATATGATACTATTCTCACGGGGTTATTTTGTTTCCAATCTCTTGGCCGTCCCTAAAGATGTTGTTGTTTTCGTTATTGTATTCCACCATATTTTTGTCAACATTTACATCCCGCCCGGCTTACTTCTGTTTGACCTCACCTCGTCCCCACTGACCTCACCTCGTCTCATCTCATCTCGCCCATGTGACTCCCCTCGCTGAATGCAGAACGAAGGGTTCCCGTTTGTAGTCTGGGGGTCTGGGGGCTGGGCCTGTGTTTGCGTCGCCGCCGCCGTCGCCGTCGTTCATTCCCTGCCATTAGGGAAAGCTTTCGATTGTGACTTCCGAGCTTCGGCTTTTGACGTGAAACGTCGTGGTAAATGGCGCGTTCAAAATCAAAAGCTTCGTGCGTCGTGTCGCGTCAGAGTGGTTTTGCGTGGCAGGGGCAGTACTTCTGAGGTTGTGGAAGTCCATGTCGCGTGGAAGTCCGCGCGGCACTTTGGATGTCGAAAGGTGTTGTTGCGCGAAACGCATTGGCAGAGCTGCGTGCAAGATGTTGAAAGTGCAGATTCCATGGCAAGGGCTTGTGCAAACAGAACATTGTGTCAGTTGTGTCACATTGCTGTTTTGCGTGGCAGGCGCACTCCTTCGGACGATGTCCAGAGGTCGTTGGCGCCGCTCTCGTCGAAGCTATTCAAGTTGTTGGGCACGTTCGCCTTTTTGACGTGTGACGCGCCAAGGTGTTTTCCTTGAAGTGTCTCTGGCACCGTTTTCTGCGGACTGTGGGGAAAGCATTTCCAAAGTGGCTGGCCCTCCTCTCGCCCCTTCACCGCTACATCCGCTTCGCTGTGTCTTACAAGACTTCCTCCCAGGAGTGTCTTACAAGAGTGTCAAAAGAGTGTCAGACAAGAGTGTCCTGCAAGAGTGTCCTGTAAGAATGTGATAGAAGAGTGTCAGGCAAGAGTGCCCTGCAAGAATGTTCTGCGAGAGAGTATACAAGTGTCTTACGAGAGTATGGTGTAGCTGGCAACATGAAGATACAAACATACGGACAGACAGACGTTAGTATGGGACTCCAAGTTGCCTTGAATGAAGATGCGGGCTTGCAAGATTGAATTTGGTTTTGGCACCATGCTGCCTTGCCTTTTCCAGACAAAATGAAGACGCCGAACCAACTTGCTTTTGCGTTTGTCAAGGCCAACCCTGAAGCTGAAGCCAAGCCACCGTCATGAGTACACGTTTTGAAGCTTATGCCAATCTGTTGACGGCAAAATTTCTAGGTGGACAGCGCAGTCCGAACAAATTCTATATTTACGATCTTGAAAACGTCGAAGGGTTTAGGCTTTTGTTTCCTTGAAAAAGGAGTGTCATAAAAAGGAGTGTCATGAAACAAACCCAGAACCTTTCTATGTCACACTCTTTTCAGAAGCGCGCTGGTGTCATCCTGCGCATTTGTCAGGACTAATCACGGTAGACCTTCCATGCAGTTGGTTTGAGCGAAACATGTGGTTATTTGACATGACAGGAGTGGCTACCTTGGCGCTGTTCTTCCTCTATCCGCCCGCCATTCGAGTCTTTGCGCCGTCAGCCATGTTTGTGACGCTGGGGGATGCCGTGACAAGGCTGATTTTAAGACAGCATTCCGCATGAAGGCAGAAATTGTTGAACAAAGGACACCGTGATCCGTGAACCAACCAAGAAGCCGGTCTAGATGGATGACCTTCATGGCCTTGTAGGGCTTAGTTCGATAGCAGGAGTTGTGACACACATCAGTGTTGGGAGCCCCCAAAAAGGCTAATAGGGCTTTGGTAGTATTTGCTTTTCGCACAGATCGGCACCAAGGCCATGACGATCGACCGTCCGTTCCCAGAATCTTGGAAAGCTTGGGTTTGGCGAAAAAAACGTCTATATCGTATAACAGATTTATGCCAATGCGCCAATAGGTTTTGCAGATTTCTGATCTTGCCAAAGCTTTGTGTTTTGCAGGGCAACCTGGTGTCGTCTATATTCAAGCGTTGGCATTGGCAAGCATTAACCAGATTGTAGGTTGCAAATGTCTGGTTGGTTTGTTTTTGGGTTTGTTCGCTTTGCTTTCAATCGTTAATTGATTGGCCCAGGCGCCTTACCAACACCATTTCGGCTCGCTGGTTTTGCTGGTGCTGTCGGTCTGTGCCTGGTTGGATCCGCGCTTGGACATGAGTGACCAGAAGTACCAGTGAGGGGTGCAAAGCCAGGCGAGGTGAGGAGAGCAGATGGACATCTACTTCTTCACAATGAGTTGAACTTGTAGATGTTCATCGGATGTTCTGCTTCTAAGATGTTAATCGAATTTATTCCCCAAACAGCTTCCTCTTGGGATTCTCCAATGCTTTGCTTCTGAATGTGTGCATCTCAGTCCCGGGCTCCTGCGGCCACCTTTGTTTGGACCTGTTTTTGAACCTGCGTTATGTCTAATCATTTCATGTTCCAATGTGTTCCAATCATTTCATGAGTTCCCAATTTCAGGTTCTGTACGGACCTCATTCTGGATCAAGTTCAGTTCCTTTCGTTTCTTTTGGTTTCAGCCTGGGTTTATGTGCCTGAGTTGCTCCTTCCCAAAAGGTTCAATTGATCTGTCAATCTTCGCTACCTTGTGCCTACCTTGTGCATTGTAGCCTCCCTTTTACTATTTACCTCCTTTTGTTCTTGCTGGCTCTTGTTTTCTCCCTCCTCATGATTTTGAATATTTAGCTTAGTATGTCGTGATTGCGACATATTCCACTGTGCAGGCATGGCGCTTCGATGATTCCTGTTCCTGCTAGTCCTGGTGCATTGATTCACCGAGTGCTGTCGGGTGCGTAGGGCAATTTTTGATTTTTGTTTGTACAGGATCCCTGAGCCTAAATCCACCCTCGCATTCTTTTCCTAGATTTCTGTAAACGATGAAGCTGGCTCTTGTTTGGCTGGATCTTGGCTGGGAATCAATTGGTCCATGCAAAGTTTGCTTGGGCCGACTATGATGCATTGTGATGTATTGCAAAGTGTTGTGGAAGCTCTCTGTTTATGTCGGCTAGCAATGGCTTGAGTATAGACTGACTCTCCCACAACAAAAACTTTCACACCCTGCACATAGGAGAGCATCATGTTTTGCGGCTCGTCTCTTCAGCTGCCTTTCATGCGCAGCCACTGCATGAGACATTGGCCATTCGTTCAATGCCAGCTTGTGAGAACCCAGCAAGCCGCAGTCATGGCACTCTGATGATTTCCTGTTCCTGGTTATCCTGGTGCATTGATTCCTGAGTGCTGTGCAGTGCATTGGACAATTTTTGTCTTTCCTCCTGAGCTGAACAAACAATTCTCCAGAAATTTCCCTAAATGCTGATGGTTGGGTCGGATATTGGCTGAGGATGAATTCGGTGCGCAGGGCACAATTGTTGCAATTTCCCACGGTAGGTGCAGGCCTAACTTCTTGGAGGTGCAGGCTTCGCCAAAAGGATTTCAGTGCCAAAAAGCTGGGGACAGTTGAGCCAAGCTGATTCAGCTCGATTGACTTGGTGCTTTGCCCGTAGCTTTTCCTGATCCAAGACAGCTGCCACCATTGATCTATCGTTTGGGTAATTTTGGCAATCTTTTGTTTGGAAATTGAACTGATGAAGGTCCATTAATTTGGGGGAATCCATACCAATAGTTCAGGACTTTTACACCCGTGGATGTTTTCAACATGGGTTTCTAATCTGGGTTGGGGTCGTGCTCTGATCTTTCGGGTGCTTTCGGGTATTTGAATGCATGATGATGCGTGTGGTGGTTGCAGACGTCGGTGAAAGTCTGGCTCTGGGAGCTGCTGAATGGTCGAGCAGCTCCTTTCGTTGCCCAACTGGCAAGGGGATTCTGGTGCCGGCCTCGGCCCGGAGTCATAGGCGCTGTACAGGCAAGTGTTCTTTTGATTATATTTTGCGACAGGTGCACTGCACCACTGGAAAAGATACGCAACAAGTTTGGTGTTCAGGCTTTTCAAAGAAAGATGCCTAGGCCGAGTGAAGTCTGCAGCGAGGGGAATGCGAGCAAGAGGTTGACGACTAGGCGGCCCTAGTGCTACCAGTTCCCAGACTTTTGGGAGAACGGCCCGGGCCATTTTGAAGGTGCTCCTAGTACTGTAGTAAGGTCAGGAGCCCCTAGTAGCGTCCTTGCTCCTAGTAGTAAGGCCAGGAGCCCTTAGTAGCTTCTTGCTCCTAGTGGCTACTTTTTGCCTTTGGCTTTTTTGTTGGTAGAAAACACCTGGGACAACCATGGCGAGCATCTGCAGCACGGTTCTACTATCAAGGTGGCCCTACAGTTTTCATACCCTTTGACTTGAACTTTGCTCTATTTGTTACAAGAAACGGGTGGAGGCCCTGTCCATGATCACGATTGCAAAGGTGTCACGTTGTTCCAAGTAGCATGCAAATGCTTGGGACTCTGTGAGGTCCTGGAGAGGACGAGGTTCTGAGTCAATCTCCCAAGTTTGTTGACCAGGTATTCCTTCGTTTGCAAACATTCCGCAGGCTGAGCATCTTCGGCAGAAGTTTGGGCGCAAGTTTGCGTCATTCTGATGGCCATAGCGTTTCTTTTTTCTCGGAGCATGTGCCTTTTACACCATGTAGATACGAACGTTTAGGGATCAATCCAAAAAGGATACCTCGCGACTCGCGTGATTGCATGTAGAGCTTGTTCGTAGTCGTTTGCTTGGGGCGAATTGCTGCAAGTCCTTCGGATTTGAGACACATCTTTGGAGACGCATTCCTGAATTGATGGAAGCATTTGGCTTACAACAAGCTAAGTTCACTTTACCACGATCTATTTTACCTTACCCGCTGCATCGCCATGAAGATGTTTGGCAAGAGCCACCCAATGCTTTTAGCCGTCTTCCTCTTCTGGCATCCGATCGATGCCTCAGACGGCGGGGTCGCAGGCATCGATTCGTGTCAGGGTCATGCCAGCCAGGCAACATCCCTGCTCTCCTTGAAGACCGACAGGTCAGCAAAACAGAAGGCTTTGGATGGTACCGAGAACAGCGAGCACGTTTTGAATGGGACTGTATGTTCCAACTGCTCCAACTCGTCCAACCAAAGCTTGGAAGACTTGGTGAAGACTGTGCTGGAAACTGACATGAACCAGAGCAGCGCCATGCCGGATCCAGTGGGCAATGGTACTGCCGGAAGCTTGGGACAGAATTTGGAGTTCCTCTACTTGAAAGTGGCTCCTTGTCCAAAAGCATTTCAGCAGACTGTAGCATGGGTTCTTTGTGCTTCATCTTCGCTATGCTTTGAGGGTGAAGTGGTTGTCTCACAAGATTAGGACAAGATCCATCCAAAGACAACTTCAGGTGAAAACATGTCCAAGTTTCTCGAGAACCGTCAAGAACACTGCCTTGAGTCAATAGACGTTGACAGGTGATCCATATTGTCGTGTGCTGTACCACAACCTCTTTGGTCAATGGAATGCAAGAACCATTGAAACCATTTAAACACAGTTATCTGCACCCAACTCGCTTCGTTCGTTGTGCAGCACCGGTTTCCGGTGGTTTTGTCACACACCCACACCGACAGCTGGAGACCGCTGAGGCACAGCTGGAGACCGCCGTGGAGCTTCAGAGTTTGGAGTTGAGACATGGAAGGCAAGAACTGCATGCAGCGCAACTGGAGATCCAAACCCTCAAGGATCGCTTGGATCACAAGGAGGTGGTGTTGCAACAAATGAATGCCCAGCTGAAGAGCAAGCTGAGAGTGGAAGATGAGTTTGTTCCCGAGCTGAAAGTGGAGAGCAAACACCGAATTGCTTGGTTGAAGCAGCTGAAGGAGAAGAATCGCCAGTGGCAAGAAGAAACGAGCCATCGAAGCCAAGACTTGTTGATGTTTGTGCTCAAGAAGCATCAGAGGCAGACCCAGCGCCGTTGGGGCAAGGCTGAGGCACCCCAGGTCAAGGCTGAAAGCGCAGAGTTGAATGAAATGATGACCCAACGAGCGTCTCACCGTACTGCGCGCAGCGGGACAGCTAGCAGCGGGACAGCTAGTGCATTGGACCGCAGTGTGGCTTCCAAGGGGGTTCCCATTGTCGATGACATTGTGGATGCGGGTGAAGATGTTGTGAATGAAATCACGGATGGTACGGGCTTGGTCGGGGATGCTTTGAGCGATGCCTACAATCAGGCCACCGACAAGGCGGCATTTGTGGCTAACACGGTGATCGACACAGTAGAGCAAGCTGTGGCAATTTTAAGTCAAGGCTTTGACTTCAGTGCCGATTGTCCCAATTGGCAAGGGCCTTCACTCTCTGTGAGCGATTCTGACATCTCGGTGGACTGGGGAAGGCAAAGGTGTAGAGTCACTTTGGTTGGTGAAACTTTAACACTCTTCGACATGAATTTTGGCAGCACTTCCGTGGCGTATCCTGCACCCTTGACGGCCATGATTAGTGTCGGCCAACAGGTCTCGGGTTGCCTTTCCAATGGGAATGCTTTGGACGTGTTCAAGTGCACAGCTAAAGCCATAGGTGATGAGTTGTTGGCAGATGTTCCAGCTTTCAAGATCCTATTTGCCTTGGCAGAGCACGTGGCAGGCTGCACTGGTGATGCGCTCGATGTGTTTACCTGCACCGCGGCCAAGGTGGGAGATGTGCTCTTGCAGAGGATCCCCCCCTTCAACCTCCTGACCAATTTGGGCACCATGCTCTCAGAGTTCATCGCCTTCTTCGCTGAGTTGGCGAGTGCCTTGATCCACACCTTGCTCTCAGAGACCAGCTCCCTCATGCAAGTGGCTGTGAACAGCAGCTTTCCACGCGCTGGCGAGCAGCCCCTGCAGCTGGCCGGTCCCAAAGGCCTAACGGCACGGCTTTCCCGGCGCCAAAGCCGGGCGCCGCCCCGGCGCCCCGGACCGCCGTCTGGGAGCGCGCCGCCCGCGAGCGTCTTGCAGCGGGAGGCGGACCGGAAGCCCTCCAATGACGTGGACAACGGCATCGTGGGCTTCGGTAGCACGGAGGCACAGCCCTATGCATCGATGTTGATTACCCAGTTTGGTGGGGATGAGATCGACAGCGGGTCCTGCCTGGCCTTTGCGCCCCGTCATCGCACTGGAAGCGCAGGGAATGTGACCAAGAGAGACTGGCAGGTGCCAAGTCCTGAGAGTGAAGACTTCGTGAAGCTCGAACCCTGGGCAGTGCCTTGTGACAACCAATGGGCCAAAGACAATCCCAGCAAATGGGAGGGGTATTCCTTCTACACCTATGAGTCTGTCATCGAGAAATGTGCCGCCATCACGTACTCGATGTCGGCTCAGCCAGTGATCTCGTTCGTGGGCGGTTTGGAATTTGATCTCCTCCCTGCACCTCTGATGGAAATCACCACAGAGGTCTGCTGGCCCGATCGAGTTTCTTCTCCCGATTTGAGTCTCATTGTCTTCACCGCTCGCAGTGCTGGCATTGTCCTCTTCACCCACACCATTCGCCTCCACCGTCGTTTTGGGGACGACGCCAACTTCACCAGCGGCAACTTCAAGGACTCGGTCGAGCGGCCGAGGAACTACTTCGGCAAGGGAACGGGTGAGGATGATGACAAGGCTTTGCAGGTTTTGTCCCGTGCGGCGGCTTTCAGTCAGACCGGCACGGAACAAAGACCTCGGGTCAAAAGGGAGTCAAAGTTGGAGGAGTTTGAAGTGAAGCAAGAGGACCTCTTCTTGGCATCGGCCAAATACGATCAAAAGCTCGGTTTGAACATCACCGCAAGATGCTCAGCCGCACCGACTGGACAAATCAAACGTCTAGGACTGGACCTGGGACTATTTTGGGACTATTTTGCATGTCAAGCTGCAACGTCAACAGCAAAATGCAGCCACCTTGTGTCATTCATGAAGGTGCAGCTTTTTAGGCGCACCTGTTTGCTTTCAACACATTTTGTGGTGGACAGTCTCACCTAAGGACCTAGTCCGAACATCCAAAACACACTCTCTCCCCACCCCCGTGCACGTGCCGCCGTCCTTCCGCCCTCCTGATTGCAGCCCTAGCACGCGCCAGCCGAGGATATGAAGGCGCAGCAGCTTCCAAACGGGTTCAAGCTGCTTTGTCAAAGAAGCTGGCGACCTTGCAGGAGGAGGATGGAGATCTGGGCGTCCACGAGCTCTTCGAGCTAGGAAGCCCGTCAGGTTCTTTGGTGGGCTTCAACATCAAGGGTGAGTTGTCATCAGGCAGGGCATGAGGAAGTGTGATGTGAGTGTCAAGTGGGGAACAGACTTGTGAGTCTTGATTGAACAGAAGAAGTGCCACTGTATCTCGCCATTTTCTGTCCATGATGCAAAAACAGGAACGCCAACTCAGGGCCCCTTTCGTCTCCGGTCCCTTTCGTCTCCAACGGCCTTCAGGTGTAATGCAGCTGAAGGTGCACATTAGCTTCGGACCTGTCGAATCTCCGACGAAGACCATTCCCTTAATCGACTTGGTCGACAATCTCCGTGTGGTCCTGGCAGCACTGCCTTTTGTGTCACAAGCCAGTAAGCAGAAAGCCATCGACGCTATGGGCAACACACATTTCGATTTGGAACTGCCCTCGGCAGAGTTCTTGGGTTCATTGCCACTGGTGAGCGGGGTGACACAAGCATCTGGTCACGTGAGGGATGCAGTCTTCGAGCGCAAGGAGGGCATTTGCAGTGTGCAAGCAGCATTGAAGCCGACGACTTGGCGAGACGTGGCCATTCTGCCAGCCGAGTGTCATCCCAGTGGATCCTTGGTCTTCAACCTGATGACAGCTTCGAAGATCGCGAGTGTGGAGGTGGATTCGCGCGGAGTCATCACATGGATGGAAGGAAGTCAAGATTCGTGGCTCTCCCTGGCTGGCTTGGTCTTTCCCGCCGTCTCACCGGGCTGGCCCATTGAATTGCAGAATGGTTGGGAAAATGCTCCAGCTCCCTATGCCCCAGCGAGCTACACCTTGGTTGGCTCTCTGTGCTTCGTGGAGGGGCGCATTGTGAGCAGCAGCAGTTGGGGAGTCCTAGCTCACCTTCCAGAAGACTGCCGACCAACCAAGAGGCTCACCTTCAACTTGAACGGCCACGGGGCAGCGACCAGTGAGATTGAAGTCTTGACCAATGGAGAGGTGGGCATAGGACGACATAGCTCAAACCTCAGGCGTTTGCCCAAACCCCTCCTACAAGGCAAAAATAACCATAGCTGTCAACCACTGACTGGTGCGACTCGTAGGGAATAAGGGAATGAGCCCCCAATAGAGATTCTAATGGATCCATTCCCTCATTCCCTGCTTGAGTCGCACCAGTCAGTTGACCATAGCTGTCAATCAATACTTGGGGTCTTTGAGAGTTCTGGTTTTAGAGCCACCTGACCAGGTGATCTACAGTGCAGGCCCCCAGACGAGCTGGCTGAGTCTGTCGGGCATCATCTTTGTCACCACCAAAGGTGTGGCCCATGCGAAGTCGCTGGAGTTAGCAGGTGGTTGGGTGGCCAGTGGTGGTGTGCCCACGTATAGTATGACGCTTGGCCACTGCCTTGTGGAGGGACAATTGGATGGAATCCTTCTCAATGGCGGTGCCAAGCTGGCGACACTTCCTGTGGAGTGCTGGCCAATGCGCAAACTCATCTTCAGCAAAGCTTATGGGACTAATAACATCGAAGTGGATGTGAGTGTCTAAATGAAAGCGACAAAGATGGTTTCTTTTTGTCTTGATCTTGCTTTTGGATACTTCTCTTTTGACAAAAAACATGTTTTTTTGACAGTAAATGCCACGATCTTCCGGATCTTCCTGCTCAGGCGAGTTCGGAGAGATCTCCTACAGCGGCACGGAAGTTGTGGTCGGAGCCGCCCGCATAAGCTTGTCGGGCCTCCTTTTCAGCGCGCCCTCCGATGGACGGAGGATGCTACCGACCGTGGGGGCATGGGTCGCCAGCTTCACGAACCAATGGGGAGAGGGTGCTTTCATCATGAAGAATGGCTTCTGTATGTTGGAAGCGCGACCGACAGGTGAATCTTAGGGCAGAATTCAAACATACCTGAATGTTTGGGGTATAGAATAATAGGGTCCTCCAAAAAGAGGCTGGACTCCACATGTTCATCCTGACATGGCGACATGTTGGGTGACTTCCCTGACACAGGTGGCTCCCTGACGCCCCTCTCCGTGATCGCCCACTTGCCGGAGGGTTGCCGCCCCACGAAGCGCTTGACCTTCAATGTGAACCATCATGACTTCACGCACTCGGTGGACGTGACCCCTGAAGGTTCGGTGGTGTGGATGGATGGGCATGCGAAATATACCTGGGTCAGCCTCAGTGGCATCACCTTTGCGCCCGGAGACGTGGGGCGGATCACCCTGCCCTTGGTGAATGGCCAGCTCGGTTTTGGCAACAAAAACCGTTTTGGTGTTTTTTTTTCTGTCTCAACTTTTCTTTTATCCCGGTGCTTGGGGGATGGGGTGTACAAACCGTGGTTTTTGTATCCCCAAATAGATAGAGAACGATAGAAGAGATTATTTTTTCCCTCACAAGGTCAGTAATATCGGTTCTATCAGAATCTTTGGAAAGCTCTGTAGCCGTGGTGCTGTCATCAGGTTGGACTCCGTATGGTCTTGAGTATGGGATTCCAGAAGTCACCAAGCGCAATGGCATTTGCTCAGTGGAAGGAAGACTCTTTGGTGGTGGCTGGCAGAAAATGGCTCAACTGCCACCAGAAGCTTGTTTGGTGTGAAGATCTACTGGGAAGCAGAAGCTCTTTCTAGTGTTCCCAGTCTTTCAATCCCACTTACTGCTGCAAACGCCGTCGCCAAACGGCTTCTAAGGAATGCACACCCAGCAAGCGGCTGATCTTCAACATGAACAATCTTGACAAGACTTCGCGAGTGGATGTGCAAGATGATGGCATCATCAGATGGTATGCAGGCGGGGACGGAGATGCCCGGCAAGCCCGGACTGCATCTGAAGATCTGGTTGGTCGTGTTTGTCGTGTGGGTTTCGGATTCGTTTTCGTGTTTCTGCTCGATGACCTTGTCCTTGAGCATCCTGAGAATGGGTTTCCATCCTCACGGAATGTCGTTTTGGGACCGAACCCAGAACAGCATGAGTGTTCGGTCTAAGTGTTCCACCATGTTCCACCATGTTCCACAGCTTCGGCCACACCCTCGGGCGAACCATGATTTCGGCCCGAGAACCGCGAGTTTTCATGTCCGGGCCTCGGACCTACCCGGACAGAACATTGGTAGGCGGCAGCTCCTACAACTGGATCAGCTTGTCCGGCATGATCATTGTCCCAGACGAGTCCAATGCAGTTCCGTTGGAACTCGCTAATGGTTGGCAAAACTATGGATCCATCTACGGCTCTGCAACTTATGCCTCCAGACAGCAAGTCAGAAAGAGAAAGCCACCCGGAACACACACACTTATGGATATGCGTACGGAACTGACAGCGGTGCCACACGCCAGCCTAAGTGAAAAACCTAGGGAAACAGGGTTTAGATCTCCCAACTCCAAATGGTCAAACCTCCAAAGGTCAAGGTTCCAAAATGCAGGACCACGAAACGATCGGGCGACAAGGACGACGGTCCGTGCATGTCTGCCAAGCTCATTAGCGCTTTACTGGAAATTGGAGTCAAAGCTTGTCAACACCACAACCAAGCAGGTACGTCGGAGTGATCAGCTCCGATATCCTCCCAACTCATGAGCAGCTTTGTTGGCAGTAGACTCATGAGTGGGCTACTGCCCCCTGCTTAAAAGGAATCAAGCAAATTAATCAAATCCAATTCAAAAGAATCCCTGTGACTACAAGGGGCACACACACACACGCACCTCCTCGAGGGGAGGCAAAGATTAAGGCTAGGACGAATGTGTAAATGTGCGCGCAGCAAGGACAAAAGGAAGAAGACATGAGAAGGAGGACGAGACGAGACGGGACAAAAGTGTGTGTGGTTGCGATGAAAGAGAAACCAAATGCACAGGGACAACCGATGAACCCCACCTCATTGTCGAGGCCTGGGCGACCTAAAACCTGAGTTTAGAAGTAGATGTGCGCGTACAAGCTAAGGCCCAGACCGTTGTGCGCGCAAGAGAAAGAAAGGAGTGAGATGAAAGGACATGAAGCAAGGGAAGACATGAAAGGAAAGAAGAAAAAGAAGTGTGTGAAGGGGAAAGGATGAAAAGGGGAACCAAATGGGGGGGACGGGAACCGATGAAGCCACACCTCATTGGAGAACCTATGCAAGCCTGGTTGAAAATGTACGTGCTGTGTGTGCATCTGAGGTAGCGACGGGTCCGTTGTGCTTTGGCCGCTGCGGCCACGTACGGCTTGCCCGAGGGCTGCCACCTTTGACCGCTGCGGTCACGTAAAGGCATGAGCCAACTTGGAATGCAATAATCCGACAAGTCTTGGCAAATAACTTTGGCTTAAGCCTCCTGCTGTCCGCTTCGGACACCTACGTTCCCAGGCAGGGGGAACAACGACAAACCCCCGTTCGACGGGTCCACCACGAAACGATCGGGCGACAAGGACGACGGTCCGTGCATGTCTGCCAAGCTCATTAGCACTTTATTGGAAATTGGAGTCAAAGCTTGTCAACACCACAACCAAGCAGGTACGTCGGAGTGATCAGCTCCGATATCCCCCAACTCATGAGCAGCTTCGATGGCAGTAGACTCATGAGTGGGCTACTGCCCCCTGCTTAAAAGGAATCAAGCAAATCAATCAAATCCAACTCAAAAGAATCTCTGTGACCACAAAGGGGCACACACACATACACTGACTGGGACCAACCAAAAATGCCAGGACTCCCGACCCGTCGGACTGTATTTGGGACGAACCTGTTTACCTGTCCGATGGAAGGAACGGAATCCAAAGGGGCTGGGATCACATGGGGCTTCGATGCCTTGAGGTCTTGCTGGATGGTATTTGTGTCATTCAAGGCATGGTGAAGGATGGCGCGAAAGGGACCAACGTGGCGGTTCTGCCAGCTGAGTGTCGCCCCAAGTCGCGCTTGGTCTTTAACATGAACCTGAGAGAATCGGTCGCACGTGTGGATGTACTGACCAGTGGAGGCCTCAGATTCCATGCCTCTGGCGCTTGGAACACTAATTGGTTGAGCCTTACTGGGATAAGCTTCACAGTTTAACTGGCTGATGTGCCAGTTCAAATTTTAATATTCCTGTTCAGCGCAACGTGCTCCCTTGAGCAAGCTTGACCGATTTCTCGTCAGAAGGTCTGTCGGAGCATGGCCGCAAGAAATTGGGCTTTGCTGGAGTGTCTTGAATGGGCTTGAATGGAGTGCTTTGATGTGTTTTGAGCCTAGTATGATTGTTGCCCTTGCGCTGGTTGTGCTTGTGCAAACAAACACCCATGTTGAGGGCCGGGCCTCTGCAGCATTTTGCTCGTTGAATCATTTTTCGCGCCCCTTTGGAGTCGTTCGCCATGCCGACCAAACGTTCCCAACGTGCTACTGCTGCTGTGGTGGCTGGGGCTGCCGCCACCATGTTGGCTCCTTCCTTCGTGGGCCCGTCTGCCTCATCAGCACCTTGGTGATCATGGGTAGATAGGTATTGACCAATGTGATAGGTATCTTGGAGGTGCAACACTCCTCTTTATCATCTTTTTGTGTGTTATGCCCATTTCGAGTTTGTGCTAAGAAGCTGAGCGCTGTGACGAGCGCCCCGGCGCCTGTGGCCGCATCAGCGCCTGCCAGCGGAGTTGGTGCTGGAGCCAGCATTCTCGGTGCAGGAGCAGCAGCTTTGGCAGCAACCGCGGCTGTGCGACCAACCAAGCGATGCGCCAAGAAGGACAAGGCTGTTCGCCTCGCCACAGCAACCGAAGTGGACGTGGACACTGAGTGCATCAATGCCATCCGCTTCTTGGCCGTGGATGCTGTGAACAAGGCCAACAGTGGTCATCCTGGTGCTCCCATGGGTCAGGCACCAATTGGATACCTTCTCTTCGCTGAGGAGATGCAGTACAATCCTGAGGATCCAAAGTGGGTGAACCGTGATCGCTTTGTCCTCTCTTCAGGCCACGGCTGCATGCTCCAGTACTCCCTCCTGCATTTGGCCGGGTATGACAGTGTCTCCATCGACGACATCAAGCAGTTCCGACAGTGGGGTTCCAAGACTCCAGGCCATCCTGAGAACTTCGAGACTGATGGCATTGAAGTGCAACTTGATGGCCAGAATTTCAATTATTCTTTTTCTCAGCCAACAATATATTCCTTCTTTTTAAGATGCAGACTTTTGGGTGTTGAATCTCACCTCGATTCTGGGCCAACAAAACCCCAAGAGAACTCCAAACACTCATGCAGAAATCGGGTGCCTTGTCCCTGACCTGTAGTGGGATCCAGTGGGGCCTCGAAGCACCGGACACCTTCAGCACCGCTTCGCTCCGTTTCGCTCCGTCGACCGAGGACCACCGGACCGCTGGGCATGGGCATCTCCAACGCCGTGGGCCTGGCGGCCGCTGAGGCGCACCTCGCGGCAGCCACTCGTCCGGCTAAAGACACGGACGACGGGGGGGGGGGAGGTGGCCACGTGGAGAGGGCGGGCCAAGTCCAAGCAGAGGGGTTTTGGACAGGTTTTGGTGAGGAGGTGTTGGCTTTGGGGGTGGAGGGGAGGGGGTAGTGACAATTCTTTAGTGGGGAGATTCACGCGGGGCCGGAAAAGAGTTCTCTGTCTAGCTGCAGCTGCATGATCTTTGTCGTGTGCAATTCCAGGTTTACAACAAGCCATTGTACACCTACCAAATCGACAAAACCTACGATGAACACGGATCGATTCAGGTCTACAACAAGCCTGGAATGGAACTCATCGATCACTACACCTACACCATTGCAGGCGACGGACGGGAGCGGCGGTGCACCAGCGTCACACTGTTCCGACGTCGTGCTGGGCACGACACGCTGTGGGACCTCGCTTGCCAGCAAGCGGAGCTGCCGGGAGAGAGGATGTGGTGAGTGAAAATTGGAAAACAGGTGCATTCCAAGATATTCCAAGTAATTCAAGCAGTTTTGACGTTCGACACCCTAGATATGGAAGTCATTGAATATCAGAATCAGTTTCTGCCGTTCTGGTATACCAGTGCCAGGTGATGGCTGCATGCAGGAGGGCATCTCGCATGAGGCCTGCGCATATGCTGGCCACTTGGGGCTGGGCAAGCTTATCGCTACTTGGCTCAAAGAGGGAAAGTTCATGGCTTTTCATTGGAAGCCTCTGAAGTCGAAGAAGTCATCGGTCCTCGTATTACTTGTGGTGACACTCCACGTGGCTTGAGCCATCATCCAAAAACCCGAAGCTTTCGACGTCCGAGGCCTTCTACGATGACAACGGCATCACCATCGATGGCCACACCGACCTCTCCTTCACCGAGGACGTGGGCAAGCGCTTCGAGGCCTACGGCTGGCAGGCGTGGCGACTGGGGCCTGCCTACTCCTGCGAAAAAGAAGCCTGCTCTTCATGTGGGATGAGGTTTTTCAAAAGGAACAAATGGGGTTGTTACATCAAGAGTCTACATGAAGTTGTTGCTCCTCTCATGCTGAAAAACACACGTGGCAGGTCTTGGAAGTGCCGGAGGGCAACACTGATGTGGATGCGATCCGGAAGGCCATCAAGGCGGAGCTGGCCTTTCAAAAGGCTTCAAACTCGCCCACAGCACGAGATGGTCAGAGTAGTGAGTGGCTTTGTGTTCTTTTCTCCTCTTTATCTTGGCTTTCCAGGAGGCGAAGGCCTGCACTGATAAGCCCACTTTGATCAAGGCGATGCTGAATCTGGCACCTGCATGCCAGACTGCTTGGGCAGATGTTGAAAGTTGCGTAGGTGAAGACCACCATTGGCTTTGGCTCGCCCAACAAGGCCTGCACTAAGCACGAAGCACGGGACAGAGCAGATCAGGTGAATTGGAGAGCAGTTGTCACTCACTTAGCTGATGCTTTGCTGCCAAGGCTGACAGCCATGATGCCCACGGAGCACCCCTGGGCGCAGATGAGGCGGAGGCACTGCCAGTAGATGATCTGCCAGACAGGCGAACGGGAGTTGATGGACAGAGTCCTAGGCCACGCGAAAGCAGCTGGGATGGAACTACGGTGAGTTTGAGGCGCGATGCGTCATATCTGAATCTGCATCTGAATGTGTTGACTATTCAAGAACCAGCACCACGGAAAGGTTGGACACTCCTGACTATGTACCATCCAAGAACAACTCCTTCGGTGGTGCTGGAATAGGTTTTGAGTATCATTTTGGCTCCAACTTGAGGTGCCAGACCAGGTGTATGACACCTTCAGGAAGCATGCCAAGGCTGGCTCTGAGAAGCAAGCGGCCTGGAATAAGATGTGGAAGGCGTGGTCTGACACATTTGGTTTCAGACTAGCCACCAAGACTAGCTATCTTGCTCCACACTAGCCACCAAGACTGCTCAGACCACTGTCAGGAGTACCAGGAGAAGGAGCCCGAGCTGGCTGCGCAGTTCAAGCGCGCGGTGATGGACCGCAAGCTGCCCGACAACTGGACCGATGCGCTCCCCAAGGCGAGGGGCGAGTGACCCGGGTGAAACGGCGAAAACGCCGAACAAGTCTTGTCGGTTGGCGGCGGCAAGTCTTGTTGTTCGGTGCCTGGCAGTGTCTCGCTCGAAATCGATGGGGCTGGCTTCGCATGACTCGTGTCGTAAACAGGCAGTAGACATTTTGAGAGAGCTCCAAGAAAAGGGAGCCCACCCCAACAGTATAGTCCTAAAGCATCCTCAAGCCGCCGTACTTTTGTCACGCTCTTGCCTTGCGACGCGCGAACACGTGTGGCTAACCGGCATGCGCCCTGCGGGTTGCGGGTTGCGAGACGCACGGCCAGCAGGTGACTCCGGAGGACAAGGGCAAGGCCACCCGGCTCCACTCCCAGGAGATGGGGAACTGAACATGCTGCATCAGCTGAAGACCCCTACGCGACCAAACGGCTTTGAATCGGTTCATCGGTTTGCTTCGAATCCGTTCGGTTCGGTGGTAAGGACAAGAGAAACACACGATGGACATGGATGGTTCGGTTCAGCAAAAGCCCAGAATTCTCGGAAGGTTCTCATAGTTAAAGGCCACACCCTCTGACTGAAGCGAGAAGTTGTTGAAGTTGCTATGGCAGGACTGTTTGAATGCCATCGCCAACGTGCTGCCAGAGTTCATGGGCGGCTCGGCCGACCTGGCTCCCTCCAACATGACTTTGTGGCTTGGAGAAGCAGCGAGTTGCTAGCAGCGAGCAGTTGAATAGGCATGAGCAAGCAGGTTGTTTGAAGACAACACGATCAACCTGCATTTTGCAGGTGAAATTTGCAGAGTTTGATTGGGATCGATAGTACTCTGAGGATGAAGTGCACGGGCGACTTCCTGAAGGACAGCTACTCCGAGCGCAACATGCGCTTTGGCATCCGCGAGTTCGGCATGGGCGCCGTGTCTAACGCGCTGTCCCTGGACAAGACAGGTGGGGCATGGCAGAGCCTTGATGAGTTATAATCACAGGGCGGGGTCATATGTCGGACTCTGACTGGTGAGTAGTCATGATAGTGATTGGCGAGTTCAAGAGCCGTACTGACGCTCTGGCCCCTCGGAACATCCTGCCAACTCCTCAAAAACGACCGTGGTTGTTGGCTCGCACGGTGGCCTTGGCGTTTGGATTTGTGGTTCCGCTCCAGTTTGCTCCCCAAAAGCGCCCCTTGGGAACGGCTGGGGAGTTTCTCGGCTGGGGAGTTGGTGAATCCAAGAACCTCCCCGACTGAGGGGGCGATCGATACGGAGAACGGAGCGCTGCATGCACTGCAGACCTGCGAACGATCGAATGAATGATCCTGTTGCTGGTACACTCGGAATCCGAAATGGTTGACGTGGAAGTGGAGTGAGTTCACGATAGGGAGCGTCAGTACACCAGGTGTACACCTCATGAATGAGCTTTCCAGCTTGACTTGGCGATCAGGGGTCTTGGCCCGTGTCATGTCATCCCTTGAACAAGTCCTCCCACCTGCTTCTCTTCATGTCGCCGATCTCTTTTTCGCTTCGTGGCGCAGGCATCATTCCTTACTGCGCCACCTTCACCATCTTCACCGACTACATGCGGGGCGCCATCCGCATTGCTGCCCTGTCGCAGGCAGGCACCATCTTCGTGACCACTCACGACTCCATCGCAGCACCTGGGCCAAGCAAGAGTTCCTTTTTTTTGTCCGATGTTTGTATTCTTTTTTGAGTCACCCAAAAGATATCATCAGGGATCGGCCCCAGGTGCGCGATAGTGGGTTTAGATGTTGCTTTTGTGCGTTCCACTTCTCCTCCCCCCAGCTCTTGCTCTCGCTGAAGAACCGAGGTGGGTGAGGATGGTCCAACCCATCAACCCATCGAGACCTTGCCCTCCCTGCGTTTGATCCCCGACCTCACCGTGATGCGCCCCGCGGACGGCAACGAGACCGCCGGCGCCTACAAGTTCCTTGGCTTCGGCGCGATGTCCGCCCAAGACATGTCAGATGTGAAACGATGTGAGACGGCGCGTGAGACGTAGAACATGGAAAGGAGATGAAAGGAGTACAAGACATGAAGTGAGTCTCGCCCTTCAGAGGATTTTCTGTCAAAAAGGACTTGATCTTCGCAAGCAAGATGTGCTAGGATAGCTGGCCTACCACGACTGAGGTATGCCGTGGAGCGCTCCAAGAACGAGTCCCGCCCCACGATGATGGCCTTCTCACGTCAGGCCGTGGACAATTTGCCCAACTCGTCCATTGAGAACACCCTGAAGGGCCAGATGCTCAGGGATATCGGGTGTTCGATGCCGAGCATTAGGCTTTTTCGGAGCATGCTCACAAAACGCATTCTTTAAGAATAGTCTTGGTCTGTCGGTTCTATTACCTGTCACAGTCAGTAAACAATTACTATATATAACATGTATTAACATATTTCATAGAACAATTTTAGAACGAGGCCTTTACTAGCCATCATCATCCACGCTTACTGCGCATAGGGATAGTCTGAAAAGCATATCGTTCTCCGGGAGTGTATAGGAGAACAACAGCTCACCAGCTCACCAGTCCCTTTGAAATTTAGTGGAGTTATATATTGAGTAGAGTAGAGTTTTCAAGCTTGTTCAATCAGATGCAGAGGCTAGAGTTTGGGCACCTGATCATCCTCGCTTTGAGGTGCCTACGAGGTCATCGAGTGCGAGAAGCCAGAGCTCATCCTGCACCTCAGCTGTTCGCAGATTTCAGGGAGCCAGATGATTGTTTCGCAGTGGTTGCCTGAAGAGCTCGATGCCTTGGTTGAAGGGCTCGGTTTTTGGAGGCCATCGCTCTTAGGTTGGAGGCCATCGCCCATGAGTAAATCAAAAGAAGATGGTTGCGTTCTTGTTTCTAGAAAGTTTCTTAGTTACTACTAGTAAGGCACTTGTTACTACAAGCGATGCACTTGTTCCTAGTAGCGGACTGTCCGTTCTTTAGGATCGGAACGGGCTCCGAAGTGGGGCTTTGCGTGGATGCGGCCAAGAAGCTGGACAAGAAGGCACGGGCGTCCCAGGTCATTGAGATGTACCAACAATGGCTCGTTATTGGTACGATATATATATATATACATATATATATATATGTTATATCATATCCAACATGATCTTCTGTACATGACATTCTTCCCTTTCTTGTGGGGCCCATGGCAGCCCTCATGCCTGCCCTGCTTCTCCCCAACGCCCTCTCCGGTCCTTCGTCGTTTTCAGGTGCGGGTGGCCCGGACCCTCAGGAGCCGTTCGGGTCAACCCGTTCGGTGCCCCGTTCGGGTCAACCCGTTCGGCCGAGGTCTCGATGCCGTCCTGCGAGGTCTACCGGGCGCCTGGGCCGTCGCAGTTTTTCCTTTCAAGTGGATGAACACGTGAGGCTTCATGCCTTGACACGGGGCTTCATGATCATTGGGATCATTGGGTTTGGAGACTACCTGAGAAGAGACCTTTGCATTCCTGGACATCTCGAGCTCTGAAGTGCTGAGGAGCAGCCAGACAGCTACAAGTCCAAGCTGCTGCCAGCAGATGTCCCGAAGATGAGCGTTGAGGCCGTGGGTGCCCGGATCGGTCCAGCCTGCGGCGGGGCCGTTCAGCCCCTCTTCGTGGTCTGTTGACATGGTCCACATGAACGGAACGGGGAGTTCGGTGGGGGAGTTTGCCCAACAAAGGGGCACGAGCCCCGAAAAGTCTCAAAGGCAAACTGGCTCAAGAACAACAAAGAATAATGTATATATATATATATGTATGACATGTATGACATGTATGACTTGTAACTCTTCTTGAGGGAACCATGGTGCTTTACCCTCCGAAACATGCCACTCAACGTGGGCATCTCTTCCATCCGAACTCTGAAGGTCCGGAGCCACGACCCGACTCGACCCGGCTCGCTGGTAGGCGGCCTGCACTGCCGGATGGGGTGAGTTTGTCAGGACCTTGGACCCGGGCGCGTCCCCACCCTGGTGCGGTCGGTTGGGTTCTCCGACATGAAAGGGACGCACCAGCACCTCGGCAGGGGAGCTGATGTTCGATCCAGTCAGATCCAGCCAGATCCAGTCCAATCGCCCTTCTTCTGCACTTCTTCGGGATGGCGCGACGCCCCGAGGCGGATGCCTTCGTGGGCATCGACGTCTTCGGCGCATCGGCGCCGGGCGGCACCTGCCGGGGGTGCCCAGGGGCGCCCGGTGCGGTGGAAGCGAGGTTCATGGAATGGAGTCGTTGGATGTGCAGCTGCAGATGGTTCAGTTTTTTCCTCTCCTTTGGAAGAAAGGTAGATGTTTGAGGACCAACAAAAAGAAGGGTCGAAAGATGGCTGTGGTTGGACCCCAACGGGAAAAAACAACATTTTAAAGAAGAACACCCAAGCTGGCCGCCAGGCCTGCTTGATCGCCAGGTCCCTGCCTTTCTGAGCCCACTCCGCAGGACTCCGGTGCCCAAAGAATGCAACGAGCGGTGGAATTCTGAGGTGGTTCATGGTTCATCACAGTCTTTCTTCTTCCCCCTGAGACTCCCCCCCCATCTAACTGATGTGATTCACATCAGGTCACAGCAGACTCTTCTCTTCTCCTCTCCCGTTTCTGCGAACAAACATCGACCAACGACGACCTCCGGCCGAACGACTGCGGCACGGCCCGCAGCTGCTGGACAAGGCCTGGACAAGTTTGGCTTCAACGTGGACAACGTGGTCAGCTGTGCTGAGAGGTGTGATGGACAGGGTTCACGACGACGACATAGGTTCGACCCAAAGAAATCCTCCGTGAGTGTTCAAGACACGTGACCTTTCCTCTTTCAGTTTTTTTCCTTTTGGCGCAAGGAACGCTGAAGGCTTTCCATGGCCTTTCCATGCCTTTCCATTTCAGGTGTGTTCTGTACATCCCTTTCGTGTCGAAACACATTTAAGGCACGGCACGACACGATGCGTTCCCACGGTGCGTTCCCAGGTGCCTCGCGGGCGAGAAGGGTGCGTTGCCGGGATGCTCAGGGGTGCGTTCGCCACTCCAAACGCCACTCTCGTGGCTTTGCGGTCAGAGAAAACCCCAGGGGGATTTCGCTGATGCCAGTGCACTTGAGGCGGGCATATGGTATTTACACGGAAATATGGCATCTTTGAAGCAACCAACAGGCTGGAGCTTAGTTAGGGAATTCGGAATGAGAGTGGCAATATACCTCAGGACCCGTTCCACCATTTCCAATGACAGCTCGTCACCTGTCCACGGTTTTGGAGTGGAGGGAGCGCTCAGGTCGAATGGCAGCCAGGGCAAGCATTGAGCGAGGGAGGCGAAGGCTTCCATTTTGTGGAGATGTTAATGTCCCTCAGAACACGGAATTCCCTTGGCCCTTCGCCACCGGTTTTGGGTTCGGAGAAACAAAGAAGTGGAGGATTGTGGAAGACTGCAGCTCTGGAATCACCGAAAGAAAGGCGAAAGGAAGGTTCGTGAACTTTAGGAATCTATAGGACTTCTCCGAGATGCAACCCGCTTGGTGGATGTGTCACATGATGTCACATTTTTGCTCTTTTTTGTTTTTCCAAAGCAATGCACGTCGCTTGGTGGATGCCTTTCCCTGCAAAAAGCGGATGTTGCATTTTTCAGCACCATTTTCCGGCCGACCTTGACGCCTGGCAGCTTTCAGATGATGTCAGCTTTCTGGTGTCTGCAAGAGTTGTAAAAGACAGTCCTCTGGCACCTTTAGGCGACTTTATTCAGTACACCAATGAGTACTAGCTATAAGTATAGCTATATCAGGCTATATATATATATCTATGTAACATGATGTCATGTACTTGTACATACATATATAATCTAATATATATATATACACATGTAACACTATATATTATGTATATATATATATATTTGTGTTTTGCAGGCAATATGTATTCCATTTCATTTTGGTTCAAAGCTGCGAGATTCCGCCAAATTTTGCGTCACGTCGTTCTTTGACAATGTCTATGTTGCTTGTTCTCCGTTTTTCGCTCCTGATTTGGCAGGCAGCCAGTATGAGGGCACAGGGTCAGCAGAAAGACAGGGTGTGCGTTTTCGTGAAGCCGTCAGAATGTCCTGGCACTGACCAGGTTCGATTTTTTGACGAAGGATGGAAACCAGCCGCGGAGGTTAAGGATGATGAGGTCATGTGCTGCAGGGAAGACCCTCCATACGACATTATTTGGACTCGCGGCTCTCCTGAACAGTGCAAGCTCCATGGTTTCATGTACCTGAACCACACTCATGCGAAGGATGGGAAGACTTGTGCCACCGTCGATTGGCCGTATGCCTCTTGTTTCTCTGCAAGCCCAGACTACTGTGGACCGCCAAGCTACATGATTCCCTTACAGCGGACAGAGCAACGCAAGGGAAACCCTATCGATGGAACTGAACTCCTGAGTCATAGCTACTCCGGATGGGGCTACAAATACCTTGGAAACAACCAGTGTTGCTGGTTGAGTAGCAGTCGGCGCTTTGCCAACTTTGTGTGCCGAGAGACCAAACTCGCTTCAGTTGGTTGCCACTATACGACTCTTGCGACCTCTGAGGAGTTTGGGACAGATATGGGTCCAGACCCAACCTCCTCCAATGGCCTGCACCGGTGTTGTGGAACCACCCAGGTCGATGTGCAGGTCCTTCCGGCCGCTGACCCCGTGCACTGAGAGGCCCTTAGCCTTAGTCATGACCGGACCACCGGACCGTGCGGAGAAAAAGCGCCACCCTGGCCGTGTGGTTGGTGAGTTTCAGCCTTCTTCACGTGCACCGTTTCAGAGGGACCCCAAATCAGCCTCCGTTTCAGCCGCCTCTCTCCGGATCGAAGCGGTGCGGCAGTGCAGCATTCAGCTCGAAGATAGCCAATTGGGAGTGCTTAGAGTTCTTCGCCATGCCGACCACCCGTGCCCAACGTGCTACTGCCGCCGTGGCCGCTGGTGCTGCCGCGACCGTGTTGGCTCCTGCGTTCGTGGGCCCTGCAGCCCCAACAGTCTCTTGGTTGCGGAACGAGAGATGTGTTTGAACATGAACTTGTTGCCAAAAATAAATGATAAATTCAGCAATATCGAACTGTGACATACTAACTAAGAAGCTGAACGCTGTGACGAGCGCCCCGGCGCCTGTGGCCGCATCAGCGCCTGCCAGCGGAGTTGGCGCTGGAGCCAGCATTCTCGGCGCAGGAGCAGCAGCTTTGGCAGCAACCGCGGCTGTGCGACCAAACAAGCGATGCGCCAAGAAGGACAAGGTTGTTCGCCTCGCCACAGCAACCGAAGTGGACGTGGAC